GACAGTTCATATTTAGTGAAATCTATCTGTAATAAAGTCACTTAAAACTCACATTTCTTAAGTTTTATAGAAAAGCTTTTTTTATCTGGGTTTGATGATGTTAGTTAAGTTTTAGCAATATGGGTATCTTTTATTATCCTGAATCGTGATTTATCTTTAATGATCTATGCTCTATTAGCAGTAGACAGAAGAAAACAAGATTCTGCAACAGTTTAAGACTCCACTTAAATAAATGTAGGAAAAGATTTTAATCAAGTAGTAGTAAGTTAGGTTCTCTGACAGTCTAAATATAATGCTTTTAACTTTAGGCTTCAATATATGTAAAACACAGACTCCTAATGCTGACTCATTTACTTAAATTTGCATGCTTTAATTAATGAGTCATCAAGTCATCAAGTGTTGGTGGCATATATTTGTTTCTAAAATGTGTTTTTCTTTCACAGGCACTAGGAAAGTTGATGCTGGCAGGTAGCCTCGTGAGACCATCCTGATCTCGCGAGCTTTCAAGATTTCACTCGCTAATCAGTCTGGAGACTCTCCGTTGAAGAAATTTTGGAGCCGTTCACCAAACGAACGTCCAATCAGCGTTGGCTTTGAGGCGGGTTGAGGTGTGACGCAACGAGAAGCGCGACAGTTCAGTCTAAAGAACATGGCGGCTTCAGCTGATGAAACTAGCGTTAGCGTGGCTATCGAGCAAGTTTTTTCGGAATTACAGACTATTTCTTCACTGAAAGGAAAATATGTTTTTGCTCTTCTCCCGACTGGTTTCGGCAAGTGTAGCCTGGCTGTTAGTACGTCATATGCTTCGTTGATCTGATTGGTTTATTTGGCCCGTCTATCACCAACATAGGCCAATCAGCTAACCAGTATTTTCGCCCCTTCCCAAAATTACTTCAACCGAAGGTTTCCAGATGGATATGCGGAGCTTATCCATCTGGCGGAGTCAGGTTAGCTGGCAGGACCCCGGAAACACAAAATAATTTGCAGACTCCTGTACGACATACGTCACTTCCCCCTTTCGACATTTGTTATAAAGACAGAAATCGATGTGACAAAATTTTCCTGAGAGGCTGTATATTCATGAAAACTATTCAGGGTTGATATTGAGGCAATGCAGCACCTTTCTGCTGGGATCTGTACATGTTTACAGTGAAATTATCAAATATAATGTATTTATCTGTTTCAAGGCTCTCAGAATATCAGTCGCTGAAGAGTCAGGTAGGAGGCTCACGGCTACGCAGTAATACAGCACAAAACCAACATTAAACGTTTCTGACTTTCACCATTGTCATATAACAGAGTGGGGAGTGTTGACTTGTGGTTAGCGCACTTCACTTGTGCTCTGAGAAGGTTGCAGGTAGCCGGGTCGATCCCCACAGTCTGCACTCTGGGTCTCTCCGAGCAAGACCCCTAACCCAACACTGCTCTCCGGGTGCTGCACAATGGCAGCCCACTGCTCCCCAAGGAGATGGGTTAAATCCAGTGTGAGATCAATAAAGTTCAATTATTATTATTACAGAAGCTGTGTCTGAACGTCTGCCCTTAAATCCCCCAATCATTATAAAGAGCAGGAACTATATAGTTAATTGACCCTTTAAACAGATGATTAATACTCTTTGCTCCCCGTCGGTCACGTACCTCCACCTCACCGCATAGTGCCTGTGTCATCTTCTTCTTTGTTGCCGCCACAACTAGTCCCATGACGCTTTGTGAGGAGAGCTCTCTTTTTTTGCTGATAGGAAGGGTGCCAAATGCAGAAAAACATGTGTTAACCTGGTATTTTCAGTAGGAACGAGGCTAAAGATTTTTCAAAGCAGTAAAAAGGTGTTTGCACAAAACAGATCCAACCCCATGCTTTCATATATTTTAGAATAATGTCTTGTAGGAATAAGTCAGGATCTTCTCTCATTTTTATAGAGGAATTTAGTAGAACTCTTCTGTAATCGGCATTGGTTTATTTCTCACCACCCAGTTTCAGAACATTAGCGGTCTTATGACTAAATGGCTGCAGTACTCCAATGTATGGTTACAAATCAAACCTAAATAATCACCCTTCCACTTCTGTGCTTCACCGCAGAGTTGGTTTGTGCAAATTCACAGACCTTTTTTCCCCAGATGTTTTCTCATGTCAAAAACTTAATCTAGTATTAAGTTTTTCTGAGTTTTAAACGGTTGGATCTTAGGGTGAAGCTACAGGCCTCGTTCTCCTGGGAATACTGGTTAAATTGGTGTGTTATAAATGGTCTTTAGCTTTCCAGATTAACACAAAGAAACAATTACAAAGAAACATTGCACTCCAGACAAGCAAGTTGTCAAGACTCTGGCTTATGGGGACAGTCACTCTCTTGGAAGATAGATTCAATAAACACCCTTTTAAAATAAGCTAAGTATTTCCAAGTGGATGGATTCACTGACCTGGGACCCAGTAAAACGCATCGGACTAACACCAGCAGATTGCATGGCTTTTCAGACCGTCAGTGACTGTGGAACTCTATTAGTATCACCAGCAGATTCTCATCAATCTGTCCTCCTGAATTAGAGTGACTGTGGCTCGGGAGGTAGGTTTTCATCCTACAACCAGTAGGTTGTCAATTTCAGCAGCTTCTCTGTTGTCGTGTCCCTTGGAAAGACACTTGACCCACCTCGCCTGCTGTTGGTGGTCAGAGGGCTTGCTGGCACCCATATATGACAAACTTGCTTCTGTCATCCTGCCCCAGGGTAGACGTGGTTACAGTATAGCTTTCCACATCAACATGTGGTAAGACACACTTACCTAGATACATTAATAAAGCACTTTAGAGTCATCTGACTTGATAAAGTCCCATGTAGTTTGTAAGAAAGAGAATGTATTTTTATCTCAAAGTAAACTCTGAACCCCTGAGTCCAGTTAATTTTGATTAACTCTGATTCAGGAGTGGCTAGAATGCGGATGTAACAGTTGTAGGCCATGTCCTGGACACCTCTGTGTATGGTAACTCTTTAAAACACAGATTCTAGCTGCAGTGTTTGTATCAAAATCTACTCCAGGTAACAGTTAACCCTGTTGGTTTTGAATGTGTTTATTTTTCCTTTTCCCTTTCATTTAGGAAGTTCTCAGTTGTTGACTATAATACAAACGATTTTGGTTAAAATCCTTTAAAACCCCAACTAAAAAGACTCCAAATTTTGTTTTCCAACCACTTAACTTTCCGTAAAGGTTCAGACAGAGCCCTCTGAAAATTCAGCTTATATAGCAGTGACTTTGTGTGACTCATTCTCTTTCGAGGACATCAGTTAAGGCCTGCTGGACATTAAGTCTAGTTCTTACCATGACTGAATGGCTAATGTTGAAAAATGCCTGAATTATTAACAAATCATTCATTTATTTTTCCTATGTTATTCAGACATTTTTAAGAAGGGTTATAGATACACTATATTGCCAAAAGTATTTGCTCACCTGCCTTGACTCACATATGAGCTTAAGTGACATCCCGTTCCTAATCCATAGGGTTCAATATGACGTCGGTCCACCCTTTGCAGCTAGAACAGCTTCAACTCTTCTGGGAAGGCTGTCCACAAGGTTTAGGAGTGTGTTTATGGGAATTTTTGACCATTCTTCCAGAAGCGCATTTGTGAGGTCGCACACTGATGTTGGACGAGAAGGCCTGGCTCTCAGTCTCCGCTCTAATTCATCCCAAAGGTGTTCTATCGGGTTGAGGTCAGGACTCTGTGCAGGCCAGTCAAGTTCATCCACACCAGACTCTGTCATCCATGTCTTTATGGACCTTGCTTTGTGCACTGGTGCACAGTCATGTTGGAAGAGGAAGGGGCCAGCTCCAAACTGTTCCCACAAAGTTGGGAGCATGGAATTGTCCAAAATGTCTTGGTATGCTGAAGCATTCAGAGTTCCTTTCACTGGAACTAAGGGGCCAAGCCCAGCTCCTGAAAAACAACCCCACACCATAATCCCCCCTCCACCAAACTTTACACTTGGCACAATGCAGTCAGACAAGTACCGTTCTCCTGGCAACCGCCAAACCCAGACCCGTCCATCAGATTGCCAGATGGAGAAGCGCGATTCGTCACTCCAGAGAACGCGTCTCCACTGCTCTAGAGTCCAGTGGCGGCGTGCTTTACACCACCGCATCCGACGCTTTGCATTGCACTTGGTGATGTATGGCTTGGATGCAGCTGCTCGACCATGGAAACCCATTCCATGAAGCTCTCTGCGCACTGTTCTTGAGCTAATCTGAAGGCCACATGAAGTTTGGAGGTCTGTAGCGATTGACTCTGCAGAAAGTTGGCGACCTCTTCGCACTATGCGCGTCAGCATCCGCTGACCCCGCTCCGTCAGTTTACGTGGCCTACCACTTCGTGGCTGAGTTGCTGTCGTTCCCAAACACTTCCATTTTCTTATAATACAGCTGACAGTTGACTGTGGAATATTTAGGAGCGAGGAAATTTCACGACTGGATTTGTTGCACAGGTGGCATCCTATCACAGTTCCACGCTGGAATTCACTGAGCTCCTGAGAGCGACCCATTCTTTCACAAATGTTTGTAAAAACAGTCTGCATGCCTAGGTGCTTGAATTTATACACCTGTGGCCATGGAAGTGATTGGAACACCTGATTCCAATAATTTGGATGGGTGAGCAAATACTTTTGGCAATATAGTGTAGCTGTAATCAACATTAAGAGATATATTATAGAAAAACCTTAAAATTCTATTTATGTGTGACTACATGCATCTGGTTGTATTTCTATTAGCTAACAGGGACACACAGCTAGGCAGGTGCATGAATAAAAGCGGCAAAAACACCAACCAAATCCTAAAGGCATCGTTTGCTGGGTATGAACTACTGTGTTCCTCAGCTTGTATTATGGCCAATGTGACGATCAACTGGAGTGACAGCAGCTTTCTAGAAGCATCATCTGCAGCTGATAAGACAAGTTGTAGCCTGAAAACAAACCACACACACACATACACACATTGTATTTGCACAAGAAGCACCAACGTTGCTCAGATTAGTCATCCAGGTATGGTTTATTGTTCTCCAAAGTGCACCGACACAACACAGAGCATGAACAAAAAGGGGCACAATAAATAAAAATCTCCAGCCATGATGCCTCTAGTAAAAAAACAAAAACAAAACACACATAATAAAACAATAATTTTACAATGTATTTCACCATGTTTAGTGAAGACAGAAAAGGGTTTTTATTTACAGTAGAGACATGTTTATGATGCCTCACTGCTGAAAATTCTGAAAACTTCAGTTTATGATGATAAAGTGACCCTTAAATAAATCTGTAATAGTGTTGTAGACAACACCACACACACCAAGACCAAGAAGTACAGAAACAGGGCAAGACCTTTAGATGCCAAGACTAAGAGAAAGCAAAAACCTTAGAGAGCGAGACCAAGGCAAGGCCAAGACCTTTAGTGGCAGAGACTAAGAAAGACCTTTAGAGAGCGAGACCAAGGCAAGACCAAGACCTTTAGTGGCAGAGACCAAGACCAATAAAGACCTTTAGAGGCTGAGACCAAGGCAAGGCCAAGGCCTTTAGCGGCAGAGACCAAGACAAGATCTTTGGACCAAGGCAAGACCTCTATATGCCCATACTAAGACCAAGACCAAGGAAAACCTTTAAAAGCAGAGACCAAGTCAAGGCGAAGACCTTTAACAAGGTGAAGACCTTTAGAGTCCAAGTCAAGGCGAAGACCTTTAGAGGCCGAGACCAAGGCAAGGCGAAGACCTTTAGAGACCGAGATCAAGACAAGGCGAAGACCTTTAGAGGGAGAGGCCAAGACCAAGAAAGACCTTTAGAGGCTGAGACCAAGACAAAACTAAGACCTTTAGAGGCTGAGACCAAGACAAAACTAAGACCTTTAGAGGCAGAGACCAAGACAAGAACGCCACCATATAAGGTCTCTGCTTCCAAATGTCTTGGTCTTGTCTCGGTCTATGTACTCCTTGGTCTTGATTACAACACTAGTCTGCAAAGATAAAAATGTAGACCAGTCACAGTAGAAATCCTAAAATCTCCCTTAAACATGGGCGACAAATTGGAAAGCATGTGACTTTAGTGTCTCTCAATAAGATTTTGACTGGCAAGTGGACAACATAGTGGGACATAATCAGGAATTCTACATGTTTACATTTTACTGAACATCACTTTAAAGATAATTTTACAAGGCAGATGTCAGTTATTATTTAACAGACTTCTGATCATATTAAATATATCACAATAATCCTTATCCAACATGCACAAAATGCAGGGTTGAAGAGGAGAGGGCAAAGAGTTACCCCTGAGAGATAAAAATATCTAGCTGTAAAAGAGCCGTTTACAAATAGGCGGTTAAAGGCCTTCTTAAATTTCAACAAAGAAATCTCTCTACTCCTGAGCTTTTTACTCTTCATTTATTTAAATAATTTGACTATGACTAAATTCAACAAGAAATATCACCTTACTCTCCGAGTATTTTGCTTATGCTCCTTTGCATAGAGTCCATTATTGTTCATAGGCTGGTTTTTAGATTTCAGTCTTTAAATCGAAGCAACAGTTTTATCTGTCAGTCTGTGGGCTCCATGATGGATAAGAGAATCCTTAAAGAAACAGGAACTCGGTTGATGAAATAAGTCTGTGTCAATAATGGCTTAAAAGCGGGGTCAATGTGGTGAAGATATGAGATGGAATCAAATCAACTGAATGACAAGTGGAAAAGCAACAGCCTTTTAGTGAATCATTATATTCCCAGACAAACCCACTCAATTCTTAAGATGGAGGGGAAACCTCACACTCTTGATCTGAAACTCCTAACATGATTAATGGTTTGTAATTTGATTCCACTATAAGGGTAGACTGCAGTTTTTTGTGGGGGCAGAAATATGTTTTTAACCTTAAATGGTACAAAAATGTAAACAATTCAACGAAAACTAAATCAATTAGAGGAAAATACATAAACAGAAAAACCTGACATAATCTAAAGCCCCAACTTAAACTAATACTTTCCTTAAGCACATTCTGTTACTCAACTTCCATCGGTTAAAATTAATCTAGAGTAATGTGCAGCTCTCAAAGTTATCAATAGAATGGTCCCAAAAAAAAAAATCTTGGCATCTTCTGCAAAATATATCACACCTACGACTGTCAGGAACCGTACTGAACCTGGATGAGGAGGCATTCAAAAGCCTTAAAGGATGTTAAATAGGCAAATCTCTTCTTATACAGGACAACAGTGTTTAACCTTTCTACAACGTTGGTGAAGTTGAATGTAACTTAAATATAACTTGAAGTGTTAGCTTGGTACAAAATCAAGGTTTATCATCACGAAAGGTCAGACTAACCAAAAAGGAACACAGTGGTGGCAGCACTATGTCATCGGTTTACATTTTTACAAATGGAGTGTGTCTGTTAGGGAGCTGACCATGAGGCAATAGTTGATCCCTCATTTTTTCAACAAGATCAATAAGTATCGGCGTTAACAAAAGGATTCCAATTGGAACTTTGAAATTAAACTACCAGAGCACAAAACTAAAAACGACAGAAAAACTTTGGAGTGTGTAGGAAGCAAATATTGCCAAGATGAAGCATGCTAATACGAAAGAAAACTAGATGCTGAACACAGAGCACTCGTTTAAAGATGTGCACACTTGTGCAGCCAAAATATTGGGGCTTTTCTACCGCCCCAGCAGAATTAGTTTTTGTTGAATCATAAAGCATAATGTAAAATTAAACGGTGGATACATTTTAAAACACAGTCTGATTTCCATAGATGTCAAACACCTGACATCTTAACAAGTTTGTAGAAAAGAAAAACAAATGTTTAGGGTATCTGAATGAATGGCTGTTGGAGCTTGTTCAGGCCAGAGGGTCTGCTGCTCAGTGCTTTCCATCTATTGGGGCCACTCCACTGAGGCGAAGAACGGGTGGGACTTAATGTCATCAACTCCTCCCACGCCTGCTCCCAGTCTCTCCATCGGGTTGTACTGAAGCAACTAAATCACAACAAACATTTCAGTATCAGTGCAAAAAAAAAATAAAAAATCTTATACAGTGCTGATGAACAGGTAGAAAAACACTTATTTATACAAAAAATAGATAAAAAGGACTCTATACCATATAATGTCAGATTTGTTGTGCATTAAGCAGAGGGAAATCCAAGCTAACCACATTAATGTACATCTAAAGATTAGCAGTTCTGAGGATTTGCAATTAGCTTTAAGACATCAGCATGGTGCCAGTACTGTTATTAAGGACATGTCCATCAAGAGTAGACCATCTGCCATAATCTGTCTGGAAACATACATACACTGATCATCATTTAAGGAATTCATAAATCCTTTTTTGTTTTCATACAAAAAACATCACATAATTTGTTGTAATCATTTAATCTTTTCGGTTTGTTTCTCTACCTGATGAAAATATCTTATAAGGTCATTAATAGAAATAAAATGACATAAATTGACCAAAAGTACTAAAGTATGATAAAGCAAAAGGAGTGAATGTGAGACTATATCACTTCATTATCTCCCTAGTGGCAGGTCGAACCCCGTTTCGCATCCAGAACTGCCTTAAATCTTCAGGTAAAGTGAACACACTGCCCTTTAAAAGTATTCAACCTTTTTCAGCATAACTGTGAAGGGTGGGGAAGGACATGTGGTTTGAAGGTTTTCCTCTTATCCCCAAATAAAAGCTTTACATCAGATGAAGCAATAGGAGTGAAGGTGAGACTATATCACGGTGGACTTCATTATCTCCCTAGTGGCAGGTCGAACCCCGTTTCGCGTCGAGAACTGCCTTAAATCTTCATGTAAAACAAACAAAGAATCATAAACATTCCTACACCAGTTGTTCCATATTGACATGATTTAGCTGCAGAAGTACTTTTCCACTACAGCGGCTAGATGAGATTAAGATCTGGCGGCTGCCGCAGTAGAATCTAAAACAGTTTGGGGTAACTTAAGCTTTATGACAATATCTGACTAGAGGCGGAACAATGCTCAGTAGTGCTGTGGCGTTTGAATTTCAGTCAATCGGTACCAATTGGTCTAAAGTTTGAAAAGAAAATATTCTGAACATGCCTGAGCCTTTAGTGGTGGTTGAAGCAGGATGCATATTTGCTTCCAGCTTATCTATACATAATTCTGACCCAATGTATCCAAAAGATGAAATTAATGATCCTGGTGACATTTTTCCCCAATTGCCTCTCATCAGTTATTAGTTAGCCTCTATTTAATGCTTATTTGAGCTGCTGTTAGCTTTTCATCATCTTTAACCAGTTATGCCATTCCCCTTTGATCTCTCAGGGATCTAAAGCATTTTCATCCACACCAACCACTCTGTGGAAAGTTTCTCTTCATGTGAGAGGAGAACTTCAGCAAGTCTACAACGCCTGGCTGAGTTGTTGCCATGGCATTAACTTGTTCACCATTTTTCTAAATAACTGAACATTAGTATTTCTGTGAATATAGATAAAAATTGAAAATCAACTATCAGAGTTGGGGATCCCTCATTATGCAGAAGGTGCAGCTTCTCACCTGCTCCAGCAGAGATCTGGCCTCCTCTGAAACACCCTCTGGGATGTTGAGAGCAGTGTGACGGCCAATTCCTGCTGGATGGCAGCTCAACAGAGACTGTGCACAGAGTAGGAGGAGGGGAAAGAAAAGAGGCAGATAAGCATCAATGTAAAACACAGAATGGATCGACACCCGCAGTGTCTAAGTCAGCAGTAAAGCATCGAAGCTGGACAGACAGGAGGAGACCAGGGAGTCGGAGCACCTGAAACAACACTGATCACACAAACAGCAAGCTCATGATCCCACTGCTGTTGCTCTTTCTTGGAACCGTGGTGGGAGTCAGTCAGAGGGAAAGTCACAGAAAGAATAAAAATATTATTGTTTAAGTAATGCAGAACCTTTTTTAGTTGTTTTTCAATGTAAAATAATAACTTAGATTGTTACCAGTTAATCTAATAATGAAATAAAATAACACATTTCCTCTTCAACAACAAAAGGATAGCATTGGTGGAACACATCAGTCATAAATAGTGCATATTTTTCCCAACAGTTGGTGCTGTTGCCTTGCTGCCTCCCGTGAAAGATGCTCCAGGACTTCTGGCTGCGTTCCTACCAGCAGTTAAGAGTGCTTCAGGCAAGATCTTATCCTGCAAGGATCAAGAGACACCGTGTGCGCCTCTGTGTGTGTGTGTTCTTGCCAAGGCTGCACAAAGGCATAATCATCAAAGGAGACATCTGTGTGGCGGGGTTTCTATCTTTTTTTTTTTTTTTACCCAGGTAAGTACATGTGTATTGTTAAGCGTAGCATTAAGCCAACATGGACAGTGGATAGGTAAACATGCTCACGCACAATTAGAATTTATTCAAATTAGGCAGAAAATGAGAAATGTAGACAAGGCACCTGCACTCAGTGACTGTAGTTGAAGCTATGCTTTCATTTTTTCTTCAGAATAAAGGGTTAAAGTTGTAATCTGCAATTTATAAATATATTCAATGCCCTTTAAAAGCATTCAACCCTTTAAACTTTTCAGCATAACTGTAAAGAGGGGGGGAGGATACATGGTTTTGAAGGTTTTCCTCTTATCCTCAAATAAAAACTTTGCATCAGTGCAGACTTCTACCAAATGAATACAGAGCACTTTGAGTCCTACATTAATGACTGGAAGCATCTAAACGATGCAGCTTTTTGCAACTTTAAAAAGCTTCACCAAAACACAACTGAAAGGAGTCATAGTTATGCCATAGCTCCGCTAGCTTTTCTACACAGCTAATGCGGATCAGAAAAGGTGGATAGACTGAAAACTTGTCGTCAGGGATTGCATCTTTCAAATAAAATACGCCATGTAAACATAACGGATACGGAGATGAGAGAGGATATCAAAGCATCTCTAAATGGATTTAAACATGTGTTATTCTAGATGCATCAACATTGATCATGATATCATTGTATAATAATTTTATCTAGTAATTGGCCGTGGCCTCTTCATAATTTCACTGCTCAAAACCCAAACCTCCAGTAATCCTTAAAAACCTAAATATTGTACATTTTCCTGAAGGCATGCAGGAAACATACGGAAGTACGACTTTAAAAACCAAACACACAAATGCTAATTAACGTTCTCCTTTGCCAGCTTGTTCCAGTGCATCTCTTCATAGGTTTGCAGCTGCCTCATCGTCTTTACGTTTTCTGGTTAAACAGTGCTCCGAAGTTTTTAAACACTTTTTTTTTTATAAACTTACCTTGCATTAAAGGAATAGTACACCCAAAACATGATTAGCCTTCATTTTCTACTCACCCCCATGCTGAACAACACTCTGGAGTACTTTTTTGATATCTCAAATGCATCTGGAGATCTGGGAGGCTTCTTGCTGTCTGCTGACATTCAAATAATGGAGGTCTATGGTGACCGAGGCAGAAAGGTCCATAAAAGTCCACAAAAAACGTGTCAATATTCCTCCATACTGCTCGTCCAATGTATTCCAAGTGTCCTGAGTGGGTAGCATCCAGAATTTACTCGAAACAAAGTCATTTAGAATGTTTTTAGAGCATAAACAGTAGTGTATAGGATTTCCTGAAAGCGCGCGCCGGCGCGTTCATGACGCTACGGAAGCCGGCAGACCAAACCAGATGAAAGTGCGCATTCAGCTCGGCAAAGAACTCATGCTCTTCCTCAACACTGAAGTCCTCAGACATTTTTCTTTCGTTGTTTCTTTCTTTGCACAGGTAAACAGCACATTTCTTCTTCTACGCTTGCATTATCGGCAGAGCAGACGCTGAATGCGCACTTTCATCTGGTTTGGTCTGCCGGCTTCCGTAGCGTCGGCGCGCGCTTTCAGGAAATCCTATACACTACTGTTTATGCTCTAAAAACATTCTAAATGACTTCGTTTCGAGTAAATTCTGGATGCTACCCACTCAGGGCACTTGGAATACATTGGACGAGCAGTATGGAGGAATATTGACACGTTTTTTGTAGACTTTTATGGACCTTTCTGTCTCGGTCACCATAGACCTCCATTATTTGAATGTCAGCAGACAGCAAGAAGCCTCCCAGATCTCCAGATGCATTTGAGATATCAAAAAAGTACTCCAGAGTGTTGTTCAGCATGGGGGTGAGTAGAAAATGAAGGCTAATCATGTTTTGGGTGTACTATTCCTTTAAAACCTCTTCATAACTCTATCCATGATTATTCTACTGTTTCACTTCTTCTTCATGGTGATTGTTGGTGGACTCTCCTTAATAATGAGCTGCTGAAGGTATGTGATTTTAATGGATTTTACTCAGGTGTATCAGAATAAAGGGGTATGATCTGCTATTGTTGTCTGTTAAAAACATCCTATCTGCTGTCAGGCTGTTAAAGCCCGTTGAAGTTAAAGGGGTGTGAATTCTTTAGCCTTGCTATGGTATTCCTCAAAAGCCTGACTTAAAAAAACGGTCCATCTCATCCTTGACCAGCCAAGCTGCAGCATCCAGAGAGCCGCCGAGGTCTTCACCTTTCATGCTGATCTGAGGTCAGTGTGTCCCGAGCCCAGCGCTGCACCAGGAGCCAGCAGAAAGGCCCGGGGAGAGCTGACCCAGTGGCCCAGCAGATGGAGCACAGGCTGGGGGGAGAAAGTCACACCGACACCCCTGGCACTCCTGGAGAACCGGAGTAAGAGACTGCAGCCAAGACGCACCTCACACACATAGCTTCCCCACCCCCTTAAAAAAACAAAAACAAACACCAACTAACCCCGCCCACTGAAAACATACAAACACAAATGAAGAGTCACGCACACACCACCTGGCAGGACCATAAAGAGTGTGTGCGAGCTCAAAGCCAAGACACCTACAGAAATCCCACAACACCTTAGAAACACAGTCGATACTTTCTGACTCACCGTTCCTGTCAGGAGCTCAAAGAGGATGGCGCCCAAACTCCACCAATCACAGGACGGCGTCTCCTCACTGATCCCTCCCACCTCTGAAGACGATGGCAAAAGAAAAGACAGAAATAATCAATACGATAACAAGGTGGAAAAAGATCTTCATGTTGAGGAAATGTGAATTTGATTCAGCTGAAAGCATCAACTGATCCTTAAATGCGTTATTTTCTATATCAGCCTTTTAAATCTCTTTAGGTTAAAATCCGTCTGTCATCATGCGTTACTCAATAGGTGAATGAATTAATACAATCGGAATCAGACGAGCACCAAATCATGAACACAGTTTCTTTCTCTCTGTCAAACACACACACACTCCAAGTGTGTCTCATCGAAGGGCAATTTGCATAATAAAAAGCAGTTAAATTGAGGAAACCTTCTGTGCAGCAACTTCACACCATCTGCATGACCTGACCCCGAATGCAAACACCCACTTATTCAAAACGCACACACACCCACACACACACCAAGATATGGTAACATTGAGACACCAAATGTGTAAATCTACATCTTTATTATCTAACATGAGCCAAGGATTTAGGTAAGACTTTTACAATGCAGTTCTTTAAAAAATATAAAATGACGTTTTTATAAAAAGAAAAAAAAAAAAATCTACCGGTAAATTTATTTCTTCTTATATGTATATATTAGGTTTTGTACTTTATGAAGTTTTCATAACCGGTTTCTTTTTTTTGACAACAACCTCGTCTTGCATCAGCGTTGTAAAACCAACAGCCGGATTGTCTATAAGATCAAAAAGCCTTTCATAGGTGAACATTTCATAGAAGTCAGACCAGCCACCGCACTCTGATCATCCAGACAAACCGTCATTATTGAAGGCTGCGGGAATCCACAGCTGAACGGCCCCTGAGAGTGACTTTCATTCATAGCTGCTGTATGCTAGCTCCACTGGGGACCAGATGGCCTCATGTGTTGCTCAGCCTCTTCTCCACTCTCCAGAGGGATGGGGGGTTAGGGGGTTGGTCACCTAGAGGGCTGGGACCCAGGGTCACGGTTGTGTGTGCCCAGGGAACGGGCTCCTCAGCTGGGGGTGCATTTTTAGACAAAGACCCCTCGTTTCCCGGAGGCTGTCGGAAAACTCCGGGGCCCTGCGCGGCTCTCTTTACAGCCAAGGTTGGAGAGGGCTATGATACAACTTGAATGTCTCATATATACACACACACACACACAGCCAACTGAGCAACCAGTCTTTGGGGCATCCCAGGACCACTGTTTTGACAGCCAAGGAGAGAAGATCGTCATTGAACGGACCACTGATACCTGTGTAGTTACGAGCTGGAGGGGAAAAGCTGGACATGCACACGCGTGTGCATCTCAGAGCAAGGTCGATGTCATCACAATGGATTAATGTCTAAGGAGCTGCAGGGAGAGTACAGTGGAGCTGGCCACACTTACTGCTCTGTCAGAGCGAGGAAGGGAGCAAACAGGATGGAGAAAAAGCAGATGGGAAGGGAGAATTAGAAGGACCCGTGAGCCCACTCCTACTAAAAGGGATTCATGGTGTGTTACCTGGTATTTTCATTCTTTCATTACAACTTTTATAGAATTAAGCACAAACTTCCCAGCTTGCAGCCTCATCTCCTTTCCCCTCCACCTGACGACATTCTCTCCTGCTGCGTATCTTAATCACACTCCACTTTCTCATTTCTCATGGGCGGCATAAGGAACTTTCTTTCTTCTCCTCTTAGAGAGACTTCCCTAAAACCTTAACTGACAGTCGCCATAAAATGAGGAAGTAAACTGCAGGTAGGAAGTACCGAAAGTACAATGACACTTCTAAACAATGCAAAGCACTTTCCATAAGACATGCAGAAAGCAGAAAAGACAAACACACAGAGATAGTTGAAGGCAAAACAAGAGTCAAAATAGTCCCTTAAACAAAGTTTGAAAATTAAAAGAATTAAATAAGATGGGGAAAAAATGAGAAAACACACAAACTATTACCATAAATGGAATCATACGGCACCTTTCAAGACATCTTGTTCTGCATAACAGGAAAAGTTAACCAAGCCATCATAACAACTTGCAAATAACAGAAGTTTTACTATGTAAAAGATAGAAATTTATATGAACTATTAATGCAAATGATCTATTAATTAAAGAAACTGACTTCATAAAGGTAGTCAGTTAGGGCAACAACCACATTACTGATCAAAACCTAAAACGTATCAACCATAAAAGGAACTTTAAATGAATTTCCAGGCTCCCTCTCCAGTATTTTCAGACCATAAAATATTAGAAGCAGCAATGGGCAAAGCACCTTAAGATTAAGCTCTCATATGGAGCTTAATCTCTAAGGAGTTTGGTTGTTGTCAACAAACTGCGGTAAATGGTTTATGGAGTAGTTCAGGATCAGTTATATTCATTATCACTCATTAGACTGAAAGGATATCCGAGAACATGTTTTTCATTTTTTTTCCATATAATTTCTTTATAAATCTTCTTATCAAGATTCAGACTGAGCCATTCCAGTGTGCCTGTCCTTTTTCTAATTTACAAAAATCCATGTGCCCCAAAAAACATCATCAAGAAAACCGGTCAGATCCAGTCACTTACACTATATTGCCAAAAGTATTTGCTCACCCATCCAAATTATTGGAATCAGGTGTTCCAATCACTTCCATGGCCACAGGTGTATAAATTCAAGCACCTAGGCATGCAGACTGTTTTTACAAACATTTGTGAAAGAATGGGTCGCTCTCAGGAGCTCAGTGAATTCCAGCGTGGAACTGTGATAGGATGCCACCTGTGCAACAAATCCAGTCGTGAAATTTCCTCGCTCCTAAATATTCCACAGTCAACTGTCAGCTGTATTATAAGAAAATGGAAGTGTTTGGGAACGACAGCAACTCAGCCACGAAGTGGTAGGCCACGTAAACTGACGGAGCGGGGTCAGCGGATGCTGACGCGCATAGTGCGAAGAGGTCGCCAACTTTCTGCAGAGTCAATCACTACAGACCTCCAAACTTCATGTGGCCTTCAGATTAGCTCAAGAACAGTGCGCAGAGAGCTTCATGGAATGGGTTTCCATGGTCGAGCAGCTGCATCCAAGCCATACATCACCAAGTGCAATGCAAAGCGTCGGATGCGGTGGTGTAAAGCACGCCGCCACTGGACTCTAGAGCAGTGGAGACGCGTTCTCTGGAGTGACGAATCGCGCTTCTCCATCTGGCAATCTGATGGACGGGTCTGGGTTTGGCGGTTGCCAGGAGAACGGTACTTGTCTGACTGCATTGTGCCAAGTGTAAAGTTTGGTGGAGGGGGGATTATGGTGTGGGGTTGTTTTTCAGGAGCTGGGCTTGGCCCCTTAGTTCCAGTGAAAGGAACTCTGAATGCTTCAGCATACCAAGACATTTTGGACAATTCCATGCTCCCAACTTTGTGGGAACAGTTTGGAGCTGGCCCCTTCCTCTTCCAACATGACTGTGCACCAGTGCACAAAGCAAGGTCCATAAAGACATGGATGACAGAGTCTGGTGTGGATGAACTTGACTGGCCTGCACAGAGTCCTGACCTCAACCCGATAGAACACCTTTGGGATGAATTAGAGCGGAGACTGAGAGCCAGGCCTTCTCGTCCAACATCAGTGTGCGACCTCACAAATGCGCTTCTGGAAGAATGGTCAAAAATTCCCATAAACACACTCCTAAACCTTGTGGACAGCCTTCCCAGAAGAGTTGAAGCTGTTCTAGCTGCAAAGGGTGGACCGACGTCATATTGAACCCTATGGATTAGGAACGGGATGTCACTTAAGCTCATATGTGAGTCAAGGCAGGTGAGCAAATACTTTTGGCAATATAGTGTATCTGCTATGATTCATTGACTACTTGCACTAAATTATTCTATTCAAACAAGGTGTTATAGACAAATACGCATAGATCTGCCCAATTATTTATTAGATAGATGTTCGTGTTGAGATCTTTATAAATCATAAAAAAAAATTCAGACAGATATAGATTCATAACAGAAATATTTACAGATGTAGAAGCTGGGACCTCAATTTACAAATAAAATGCACACTTTACGTTAATATGCAAAGATTTGCACCACCGAAAAACATTCTAGTCTCTTTTAGCTGCAGAGAAGTAACATAAAAAAATGTCTGTGATGTCTGGGTTGTTTGCAATTTTTTTCTTCCACCCAACTTTCCTTGAACATGCCTAAGCTCAATCCCTTGTAAGCAGCAAGCTTAAGATGCCTTTAGTGGCTTACTCTACTTGTGGATGAGGTCAGTATCTAAATGCAACCCTAACACTGCATAGAATATTTACAATTAAAATACATTTTTTAGCCTTACCTAATTTCCCTGTCTGTAAAAGATTGTTTAAACCTAACGTAATACATTTTTTAAACAAACATTTTTTTTTTTTATAATAATGTATTAAGAACATTTCACATTTATTTTGTTAACGAAACTAAACATATTTAAGAGCAGCCTTTCGAGGAGGGATTTCAGGGTGGGTGAGTCGCTAGATTTTTTTTTATGATGTAAAATAAAACCCCTTCAACTGGCTATAATTCAGTGTGAGGAAGGAATATAAGAACTACAATAAATTGAGTAAAGATATAAATGAAATAAGCACCAATTAGTAAATTATCTGTTCATAAAGACTCACTTTATGTCTTAACTGTTGGGTAAGAGAACAAGCAGTCAAATAATAAAGCAGAAGTCCTGCCAGGTTATGCCATCCTTGAACAACCTTTTTTTTTTAAAACAATGAAATGAAAGCCTGGTGTAAAAAGGGGAACTAAACTTTATCTTCCATTAGATCATGTTAGGCTGAGTAGGTAAAAGGATCCAAAACAAGGATGGTGGAGTCCTCGGTAACTGTTCTCTCTGAGAGGAAGAAAATCAAATTTCCCTTTTCTTAGACGACCAAGACAATCAGTTTCAGCTTTGCTTCCTTATAAACAGAACAATAAACAATTCCCCTTTCTGTTTAAACTAGGTTGTCCTTCTAAAGAAGTTAAATTAAAAAAAGGCAACCGCTTTTTTCCTTCTTATCAGAGAACAAAACATTAGCCATCTGATGTTTATCTGTAATGACACTACAGTGAGAAAATAAATAAGCACAAGTGCAGGATAAACAGATTAATTCCCCCGTCGCCGCCGCATTTTCCAAGTACACTCCCGTGTTTTTTTGGGTGTGAATGAGTGTGTTTTAAAAAACATGCTGTCTTCCTTCACAAACACACACACACCATATAAACACATACACACGGGGTGCCTCAGTCACAGCAGGCACCCTGCTAGGTTTCTGGCAAACACTCATAAATCTGTCATCAGGAATGAAGCCATAGCTAGAGCTGACCCTGTCTGGATAAACAGCAATACATAACAAGGGCAGCAGAGACACACACTCCCTAACCTCTGCAACAGGGTGTGTGTGTTTTCTCTGCTGTACTTACATTTAATGCCTGCATATATGTATGGAAGAATGGACTAAAATATCAGTACGGGAAAGGCATTATTATAGCCGGGTGGCGTCATAGCTGGGTTTAAGGTAAATGTGAACAATGACAAACGAGATAAAGAGAGGAAGTTGCCTGTGATTCAGTAGAACAGCAGTCAATAAATGTCGGAGTGGTCTTTTAACTTCACAGCATGGCAACACACCCCCTGCTGGCAAATAGTAGAAATTACATCCAAACCACCGGGGATCAAGTGTGACTATCAGGATGTTTCACATCTTGTATACGGTTAGGATGGATGTTTTTCTGTTTAGTTGGCCTGTTTGGATCTACAGAGTGGAGCAGACTAAAATGCATTTAGAGAAATGCTTTCAATTTATAATGTACACAGGTTTGCAGAGCCAAAAACTGACACATTGCTTGGATGAACCCTAATAAATCAAGATAATATCAAGCATTCAGAGTACGAACATGTGTAGAATTATACGCATAAAACATATTCAGGATAAGCTTCACAGCTGAGGAGTTAAATATCATTTTCCAAAAATATTTAAGTAGCAAATGTGAGTTTTTTCACGCTCTGTATGGAGAGTAGACTGATGTTGCTTGTCCCGCACATGTTTCTGAGCCTTGATAGTTGGCTAACTAAAAAGAAGGAGTCTTAATATGCAGAAGCAGCATTTAGTTCCTATGCTCCACTTATCTGGAAAAAACTTCCAGAAAACTGTAACAGTGCGGAAAGCCTGAGTTCCTTTAAATCAAGACTAAAAACACATTTGTTTAGGATTGCCTTCGACTGTTCTAGTTCTCTGTTCTAACAGTTCATTTTTTTAATTTTCTTTAGTCCAACTGCTTTTAATGTTCTTTCTTGTTTCTACATTTTTTATATATATGTTTTTTCTTCTACTTGCTCTGATTCTGTTTTATTTTCCTATATTTTAATCATGTAAAGCACTTTGCATTGTCTTTGTACTGAATTGTGCTATACAAATAAATTTGCCTTACCTGCAATTTTTTCCTCAAAAGAATGAAAAATTTGGCTGTTCAGAAATATCTACAGTTGTAAAAACACAGACAGCAACAATATGGAAACTCAAGAAAGGATGAACACTTTTATAAAGGAAATGTTTTAAGAAAACAGTTGGACAATTGAGTGAAGACTAATAAGAAGTCAGCAGAGACCGGGTGTGGAATAATCAATGTTATATCATTTTAAAAACAGAAGAATGATGGTTTCCTTCTTTCTAAATTAATAATGTTATATTTTTGCTGTGCACACAGGAACACCACATCTAATGCCTATTTAACTACTTGACTAAGTTATAACAGTTATAAAATGAAGGGTACAAATTTGAGATTTCCTTCTTCACAATATAATGTTCCTCTTCTGGAGAGGGAAAAATTAATAGGACAGATACTATTAAAAGTGTGTCAATCCTATGTAATCAGAATAAATATATTAAACATTGTAAGAACTCTAGTAGGTATGCGGAGGAAGGCAGATAATAATAATTTAAAAGAGAAAGAAATAGCAGTTTTTGAAGTGAAATGCATATACAAACATACTCTCTAACAATCACACACACAAACAGAAGTGCTAAATAGAGACTGAGAGCTATAGTCTAGCTGCAGTTTGTTTTGGGCGGCTTTTAAAACAGCATGCCTCAGCTGCCTCGTGTCAGCTGGGAGAACCACACTGAGTTACAGCAATATGAGTGGAATGTAGCACAACACCGCCCTCTAAAGGACAAAAGAATAACTGCAGTAAATAAACCTTAAGATCTCAGATTTATTACTTTACATTTAGAATAAAATCCCTGGGATTTTTAAACATTAAATAAGTTCTAGTATATTTGATAACTAGAGGTTAGCTTCACCTAATGCCCTGTATAGTGTGAGGTAGAGGCCAGAATTAGCCAATTTTCTCTTCACTGGCTCTATATGGTATGCAGCCTGTTAAATATAAAAAAAATATTTATTTTAATCTATTATTAAATATATAATACTAAAAGGACTTCAGCAGTTTTAGGTCTTGATAGACATTATATTTTTTTACTGATCCATTTAATAAATATTAGATAAAAGCTTAAAATTGATGCTTTGAAGTATAGATAGGGATACTCAAATACAATTCCTTTTCTGAAAGAAGCTACAGTATTTTCTTTTTCCATCTTTCATGGGTTAAAATTCTTAGGTTAATCAGAAATGATAGCTCAGTCCCCACAGAAAACCAGAAATCTCTGTTGACTCGGAAAAGTAACTCTCAATGGTTTATAATAAAATCTGTTACAATCAACTTCATGCAGCTGGAGGAAACAAATAATATCTGAAGCACATGAAAAGCTTTCTCTTTATAATAAAGCAGATTTTGCTTTATTATATTTTTCTTTACAGATAACTGCAGTAAAGAAAAAGAAAACTGTTAGTGGAACCTAAAATATAAATCAATAAAAACTCTAATCTTTGCTCCAAGCTTGAGAGGGAGATGCTTGATGATAGTGCATCTGCTCAGCTTTCTCAGATCCAGAGTTTAAAGATGTGGTTTAAATCCAGCCTTGAGCATTAAAATGTTGGATTCTCACCTGGTGCACAGTACATATTGGCCGTGGCTTCCTTGTCACAGGACTCCTCCACATCACACCAACTACAAAAGTATGTTAGCTGCACATGCCCTAAGGAGAGAAGATAAAAAACAAAAACATGATTGACCTTTCAAACTATTTTATAACTATTCACAGAGAGCTTTCTTCCTCCACTCATTTCTACCCCTCTACAAGCAACAGCCCTGACGATTACTCCTGTTTAGCGGCTACCCGTTAACGCTATCATTAGAACTAATGGTGTCATTAGGTAGCCGTAGCCATTAGCCTCAGCTAGCCAGACTGATGCACCACACTAGGCCGCTGATGGGCCCTTTAGAACAATAATTACCACTAGGGAGACGAAAAACAGCCACTCAGCTAATTAGACGCTTGTTGATAACAAGGCTAAGAGAGATGATTGTAGGATGACAAAAAGAAGTTGAGGGGCAATCTGACATCATGCTCAGGAAAGGCTAGAGGAGAATGAAGTGCAGTACAGCCAAGATTAGGTACAACAGAGATTATAGGAAGTGTAACTTGACCTCAAAGTTTAGAAGTAAGAATCCCAGCAGCTGAATTAGCTGATATTTTGTTTTTTTTATACAAAGGAAATCATTGCAAACATTCAGAACCCTTCAACATTTTTGCATGTTCTATTTTTACAACCTGAAGATATTGCATTGAGATTTTATAAAATACACCAACAAAAGGTAATTCAAAATAATGTCAGCCATCTTATAAAAATGTAAACCGAAAAACAAATCAGGCAGATCAGGGATAAAGTTGGGTAAACGTTTCTATCAGGATTAGGCCATAAAACAATAACCCAAGTTTTGAGCCTCTCACTGCTTAATCCATCATGTGAGGATGAAAAGAGTCTGGCTATGAAAGCAAATCTACAGTAACTGCAACTGCAGAGATTAACCGCCCAGGTTTATTGTTTATTCCACAAATATGGCAGTTATGAATGAGATGTGTTTAGATAAAAAAAACAGGAGCCAACTGAGAGTTGGAGGCAAGGCTTGCACTGGAAAACATTAAAATCTAGGTAAGCCTTTCTTTTTCTTAAAATAAGTGTATTTGTTCTTGGATTGAGGAGGTAAAAGAGACATTTCGCCAGTGAAAAAAGATAATTTACACTTAAAATGAGAAAACACAGTTGCATTGTCTTATTTCAAGTGCATATTATCTAATTATCTTATTCCAAGAGTAAAAATACTCATTCCGTTGGCAAACTCTTATTTACCTACTCAAATTAAGGGTAAATACACTTAATTGAACAAATTTTTACTTATTTCTTGATTGTTTTCTTGTGTGAAAAATGCTCCCATTCCAATTGGAAGGAGGGCCAGTTAATTGGAGAACATGTTTTTACTTTTGAAATATAAAAACCTTTCAGAACACGAATTATTTTTCCCATCATATCAAAATTGTTACTTTTGTTGGTCTATTGCATGGATTCCAGATTAAAGTTGGTGGCTATAAATTGGCAAAATGTGAATTCTTTCGCAAGGCACTGGATTCAGTGTAAAATGTATTACTACCACGCTTCCAGTGACACAAACCTGCATTTGAAGATCTGTGTATTCATTACCATTGACAAAAAGAGAGCTTGAAAAGTCTCCATAAGGTTAAGCAATCAATAAGGTATCAAAAAAAATCTCTCACCTTGATGGTCTAGCAGGATGTTATTGGGATTCAAGTCGCGACAGATAATACCCTCTTGATGTAGACAGTCCAAGGCTGTCACAATCTCTACAGCCCAGCATCGCACAAACTCCTCCGGGATGTGAGCTTGGGTGGCTGCCAGCGACAGCTCGTCCAACTCTGCAAACAGCCGTGACACGTCTTTATCAAAGTCGCTGCTGCTTGTGGTTTTATTGACTCTTGATGATTCACCATCAAGTCCTAATAAACTCTCGACGACTGCACAAGTCTGAGTGCCGTTCACGGCTGGGACAGAGGCTACAACGCCATTACTGGGGAGTGGAGCAGAGTCGGTTTTTCCTGTGGTACAGGACTGAGGCTTATCGCTTAAAATGCCTGATTCAAGAAGGTGATCACTGCTTTGGCTGTCATCATCTTTATCAAAGCCTTTGTCGGAGGCCTCTAGTCCAAATGTCAAGCTTTCGTCCATCAGAGAAGGACATGCGAGACTAGTGTCACAAGTTGCAGAGGCTGTGGAGAAGGAAGAAAGGTCTTGCTCCAATGGTTGCTCCTCCAGATCCTCATGCTTACTATGAGGCTGCAAAACATCAGGCTGGATGTACTTTTGAGGTGAGGCTGCAACCTCAATGCCTAAACAAACCCCTGAAGGGTTTAGTTCCTCCTGTGGAGCATTTACAGTTCCACTCATTACAGGAAGATTGACCAATAAGTCTGGTGGATGACCCTCATCTTCCACTACAGCCTCCTTAAAAGAAATGACTGGCACAGACTCATTAGACGCCTTATCGCTGCAGTCCAGACCCCAAAACTCCAAGCTTGGGCCTTTTACCTCCTGAGCCAGCTCTGGGAGATCCTCAGTGACCTCCGAACCTAGATCGGATGTAGAAAACTGAAGGGGCTGCTTCTGAGAATTCCAGTGTTCTCCCATATCCAGGCCAGTCACCTCGCTAGCGCTGTCTTTGCTATCAATGCGGAAAAACTCCATCGGGGTGTGCTTGGACTGATCCAAAGAGAGAGGCTCGGTGGGAGACCGTGAGGGACTGAAAACATCACTGTTCTCATGTCCTTCGCTGCGGTTTTGGTCAGTTTCGAGGGTTTGGCCACTCTTGTCAGAAAACTCACTGAAGAAGCCGAGTTCCTGAGAGCCTCCCGGTGAAGAAAGGCTGTCATTGCTGAGAAGAGAACGACTATAAGAAGAGGCTGTTGCTGTTGCATTAGGCACCTCCAGAGAGAGCATTTCCTCTTCGCTCTTCTCCTCACCCTCCTCTTCTAGGGCATCTGGTTCTACTTTTTCTTGTTCGTACTCATTGCAAAGAGTCAAGTAGCTGTTGGTGCACTCCTCTTCGGAGGTAGCCCCAGAGTCAGACTGCCCACCAATTTGTTCATGGAGCACTGCAGGGACGGCACTCTTTACAGGAGACACAAAGGGAACTTCTTCCTCTCTCTGAAGGCCAAAAGCAGGATCTGAACCAGTAATGAGCTCCGACTCACAGCTGGCAGAACAGACATCCAGCTGTGGTATTATATGGTGCGAAGAATGTACAGCTGTGGTGTGGCTCTTTTGGATGAAAGGAATCTCAAAGCTCTCCTCTGGGCTGGAATTACGGAGATACTTTCCAATGTGAGACCACAGCTTCCCACCTAAACAGAAATAAAGCAAACAGTTAAAAAAAAAGAAAGGGAGAACATAGGAAAAGACAAACTAATTGTCTTTTTTTGATTGTCTGAATTAATAAAAGCTACAGCTAACCTTCAATAACACATTGTATTACCTTAACAAGACCAACAATACTCTTGCTGCTTTTGTTAGTGAAGCAGAGAAACTAAAATATTTTGTTTCCTTGTGAGCAAACAGCTCAGCCATAAACATTGTTTTCATAATTTTTGACAAAGTTTATTCTTTATTTTCCATCGTCTATAAAAGCTCTGATTTCATACAGACACACATGGACAAAATCATTGGTACCCCTCGTTTATTGAAATAAAAACCCACAATGGTCACAGAAATAACTTAAATCTGAAAGATAATGAAGTAAATTCTATTGAAATGAACTAATTTAGTCTAGACATTGCTCTTCAAATACGCTTCCGCAGAATATAAAGAAAAAAAACATAAAACAGGCCTGGACAAAATGATAATAACCGTAGAAAAGACTGAAAATAATTCCACAAAGGGGACATGTTAAATCAAGGTGTTTCCACTAATTAGGGTCACATGTGTCTACAATCTTGTAATCAGTCAGTAAATAGCATGGATGCAACAAGCGCTATTGAGTGAGGAATGCAATGGCACTGCATTTATTTCAATATACCAAACTTTCCCAGATCAGATGGGATGAACATGTTTTTGGTCTGAAAATATTTTTTAATACACCACTTTTTTTTCCACACTCATCGATTACACCAAAAACCTTAAAAATTGGGAGTCCTTGTTTTGTTTTTTTTCACACTATGTAGAAGTTCATTGCACATAAATAAGTAGAGCCGCAGGAACAGCAGCTGGAGGCCTGGATCTCCTTGGTCCAACACTGATTTAGGTAATTAGATGATGATCAGGGCTCTGGAGAAATTGACTTCATACTGAGGAGGTAATTGAGCAATTTGCAACTAAGCTGCTGCTCATTCACTGTGGGAAAGCTGTACGTATCAAAAAATATAAAGTTTGTTTAAGTCATTTGATTCATGCGTGTTGGACCAAAGTATAATCCAAATGTTGCAGGAAGGACCTCTTAGTTCCCCACCCCCGCTTAAGGGCAGATTATATTTGTGCAACCGCACACATCAAATGTCGCTTGGGTCTGGTCGCGTACCAGTTTTGCTGGTATGCTTCGGCACCTGTCGGCCTGGAATTTCTAGGGACGCACAGCAGTTTCCCACCAAAACGCAAGGGGGAGCCTATTCAAGAACTCTAGCTGTGAGATGGAGATATATGTATTTATATAATTTGTCTGAGGCATCCAACATGTGGTTATACTTCCGAACCTCCTTGATTAACCTTTCGCCGTAGTTGTCCATTGTTCCTCGATTTTCAAAGATGGCGAGCTTCAGCACCGAATTGAGAAGGACGACCACACAGACAGCCGGAAAGGCATACAAAGGACCAATCACAGCTGCTTTTTGTCTGTGCACTTCCGCTTGAGGTCTGCGCGGGTTTGCGACCGTCCGATCCGTAGTCAGGATTTTTTGGAGTTGCGCCACAGCGGATGAAGAGCCTCTGAGCGGTGGGGGGTCGCACACAGAGACAGATTTGACGGTTGCAGAGTCTATGTTTCAGAAGCATAAATTGGCCTTTAGACAGTAAACCCATGCTTCTGATCCAGTGTTGCTTAGGTCACTTCCTCCATTTGTAAAATAACCCTGAATAACAAAAAGGTATAGACACCTTCACACTGGTGTCTAGGGCTGGGCGATATAGAAAAAAAGCTTATCGATAAAAAAAAAAAATGCATATTGATCGATATCGATAATTATTTAAAAGATTTGAAACCATATTTATGTGCCTGGACTTTTAATAATATTGCTAAATGATTTAATTTTAATAAAAAACACAAACACAGACCTTGAATTAAATCTTTATTTAACCAACTTTTTTAACCATAACAGAATTGTTTTGAAGAAAAATAACTTAAGAGACCTGAGTTATGTTATTAAATACTGACAAAGAATAAACTAAAGTGACCAGAAAAGTGACCAAAATGAATATAACAAATAAATAAATCCCCCCGCCGCCCCCCACATTCCTCTAAGCTGAACCTGGTTCAGCTTAGTTTCCTGCTTTAACCTGAGTTATTACTTTGAAGTTTCTGGTCCCTCAGCATTTTTCTCTCAATTGTTAGAACTACGTGGGAAACTGCCCAGAACTGAAAATATATATATATATTTTCACGAAATTCCCGAAGATTCCTCGGAGGAGAGCCGCGTCGGGGCCTACACAGCTCGTACTCCTGCGGGTGTGAGCGGCTGAGATGATAAAAAAAAAAAAAAGTTGGTTTCGTTATCAGACTTCGTTTTCACTGGTTCCCTACAAATTTTCCAGATGACTGTGGTTTGTTTTTTGTCCGACTTGCCATGACCGAAATACTTCCAAACTGGCGAACTACAAAAACCCTTCTTTGAAACAATTTCCTCCACCTCTCCTTGCTGCGACATCTTCATGTGCTCTGTGTTGTGGTTTGAGAGGGCGGCGCTTGGTGACGGCGTGCCTGGGTCCGCGATTGTGATTGGTTGGGAGGCAGTAGCGACTAGCATAAACCTACATGCTAGGCTACAATGAGAAGGAAGGAAAACAGCGTTTCTTTTTTATCGAACTTTTATCGACTCTCTTTTTTTCTATTGCGCCACACGTCTATCGATCGATATATATCGTTATTGAATTATCGCCCAGCCCTACTGGTGTCAATATTTCCTACTAATGTTAGCAAAGGTTAATTGCAGGACACAATTATTATGAAATCTGAGTATTTCTGTGTATGCACTTTGTATATGGACACCTAGAGTAAGTAGGATGTAAGGAGGCCCAGGTGTTGCAATAGCTAATGAAGCATGGCACCACTCGCTATTCAGAATAATGACCTGTGACACAAACCAATCTCAGTAAAACATCTGTCTGAAACAAGGTCACAGAGGGGACAGAATATCTGATCAGTGGGGAAAAAGAAGAAGTTGAGAAGGTTTAGCATATTTATAGAGAACAGGTATGCCTCACCCTCAGCGTAATGCAGCAGGAGGAAAACACTGTCTTCAGAGATGATGAACTTTCTCAGCTGCACCATGTGGGGCACAGACAAAGGCATAATAGTCTTCTTAACCTGTCCGCAGTCACTGCTTTTTCTCAGTCCCTACAACGAAACATGTGTTCAGGGATTACATTAGACAGTAAACTATGTTTGGGAGAGAAATGAGAAAACATCAAAGGAGAAACCTTCCATTAACTTAAAGTGTCGTCTACGCCCCAGGGCAACCCAAAGTCGCTGGATTCATCAAGCTTTATAAAGCATCTGATTTGAAACAGCCCCACAAATTAAGAAGACTCTATGAGGAAATGTGTGGGTTTGCCCGTTTGTGTGTGTGTGCAGTCATTTGCGCGTTAGCATCTGGCACACGTCTCACACCTGAGAGCGGAGGAGCTGACAGAGACAGGCCCATTAGAATCAATTACACCGGTCACACACAGGGGCTTCTGGCACACTTCGCACTCACAGCCAGGATGGCGAGCATACAGCGAAACATACACAAACACCCACTAACACAGAAATGGTTCTCACTTTGAGGATTAACGTCTCCTGAGTTCTCTTGTCCAAGACCAGAAGAACCTGCAGAAGAGAAATGCCATTACTTTCCATCATTGTAAAAATAATAACCAGTAATAAAATATAAGCTGCGTCCAATGGATGAATGGAGCTTTAACACTAAGAGTTTAGGATATATTTTCCACACTCTTGTATCTATTTCTAAACTTATTCTGATGTGTTCTCTTCATCCTTTGACATGGGATTTGGCTCAGAGCTCGTCTGCCTGGCTGTGTTTCCTGGACAGGGCCGCCTTTTACAGCTGCTTTTTGTATCTCTGCTTCCGTCTTCTTGAACCCCAGTCGGCCTCGGCGGATGGCCGCTCTATAACATTTGGTTCAGCTGGAGGTTTCGTACTGTTAAAAGGGAGTTTTTCCTCTCCACTGTCGCTACAAGCATGCTTAGTGTGAGGAATTGCATTTGAGTCAATGAGTCCATGCAATCAACTTGTTTTCCTTAGATAGAAAACTTTGAATCAATATGAATGGATGGTCTGGTTAAGTGTAAAGTGCCTTGAGATGACAAACCTTGAGATGCCTTGAGATGATAAACTGAATTGAAATTGAAATTATTTCGAGATTTAAAAAACCGTCATCAAGTCATGAACACATTTCAACAAAAGGTCAAACCAACTATCTTTCTCCTTTACTTTCAATTCCAAACATGTTTTTTTTTTATCTTCATTTTGTCCCTCAAAATGATCCCTACTTTCCTCGATAACATCTCCATTGCTGTTCTGGTCTGTAATTATCTCAAGGGAGAGCTTGAGCATATGTGTGTGACCCGGTGTGTGTGTCGCTCGCAGGCGACCCTGACTGGGACCAAACAGGTGCAGCCTAAATGGATATGAATGGAGCTGTGAGTAAACAGAGTGGCGGTGCTAGCCAGGGTGCTAATATAATTAAGAAATAAACATCAGGGAAGAGAGGAGGGTGAGCTGAAGAGAGGGGACAAGGGAGGGGCAGTAGGGTGAGGAGCTCCTGCCATCTGTACCCTCTGTCCTCATTTAAAGTAAAAAAATAAATAAAAATGAGGATGAAGAAGAAGGAGGAGACTGCGTCTATAATGCATAAATTGTTTTTGCCTTGCACTTCAGCAGTTTTTGAAATACTGCGCTGGAAAACTCACATATGTTGGTGTAGTATCAACATTTTCCTTAGGGTTCTGTGTGAGTGTGTACGTACAAGGCCGAGCATCATCGATTCAATGTTGTGTGTCATTCTCCGAGCTCCGTGCCAAGTCATTTCATGGCTCAGTGGTGAAGTTGCTTCGCCGGCAGCTGTTTGAGAGGACCAACTACCCAAACTGACCTTGTGGTAGTCATAACTGACGCTAAACATACACACACTCAGCCCTTGCCATACATCTAGTAAATCTATTACATTTTACTGCCTGAGATAAAAGAGATGGGAGAGTGGGAGATAAGGACACAAGGAGGAGAAATCTGAAGATGGATACCATCCGCATTCTTGGTCAGGGGGTTATTATAAAATAAATGACCGCTGGCTTGACCTGAATGGTTATAATTTAAAAAAATAATCTAACCTTAAATCCTGCAGCATCCAAAGACAGATTTATTTCCTAAACAGAGGAACTTGGCCTTATAAAGGACCTCTAAGACTCACTTCATGATTACATTTCAGAATCAAAGTACATCAAAACAAATGGAAATCCTTTCATGCAGCTTAGAGATCTTGTATGCTTACCTTATTAATGACCCCTATCACCCTGTAAGCTGTCAGCTCATCAAATGGACTCTGCTGCCCTCCTCTGCTTGTGGAAGAACAGCACTGAGCACCAAAGGCCTTAGGACAAAACGAAAAGCACAGAAAACTTCACTTTAACTTTAAATTATAAAAAATGCAAACAAATGGGATCTGAATACTGGTTTATAAACATCACATATCTTTTTTTTTTTTTTTTTGCACTGCTCACCACAGTCTGTGTTGATCCCTGACCCATACTGCTTCTCCTATGCAGAGCTGATATCTGCTCTGCACGCATCAGATACTCAGCAGTCTTTTTCTTCACTGCCTCCCGGCGGGAGGCACTTGGTTCACCTGAGGAGAGGTAACCCAAAACATTTACATTTTTAGTTTATCTATAGATAAATAATGATTTAGTCAATAATGAAATAAATATGACTGGCTTATAAAAAGGGAATATCAGTGTCATATTCACTGACGAAAATACAAGTTAGACTTTTGAATAAAAACACTTCTTGCTCTACAAAAGAGTAAAAATATTTTAGAAACAAAACTACTGAAATAGATGTCCAATGTACTTTTAGAGAAAATTGAGAAATTTCTAAAAGGCTTGACAATCGAAATGAGAAATCAGTGGGTGATCTGAACCAGATCATTTCCTGCTTGATCTGGTTCACAAACTCAAAAGATGCTTCCTTATCTGACGAGTGACACCACAGTTAACCTCTTAACATCCACCTCATTTTGGGTAATCCTCGCCTATTTTGCTTATCCAAATCGAAAAGTAAATGACTTAGGAACTGTAAGCCCAAATTCTTTACTGCCGCAGTTATTATAAATGGTGTGTACACCTTGTGATCACCAGTCGGGTCGCACTTTATTATTTACGGGTGCGTGGGGTCGGGGCTGGTTTTTAAATGGGGATAATAGTGGGTTACGGGCCAGATCTCTGTTCTGAACTCTATGGGTGTTGGCGAATACAGTTTCGAAAAATCAGACCCTTGCAGGACTCTAAAGCTACGTTCACACTGCAGCCTGAAGTGACCCAAATCTCATTTTTTTGCCAATATGCGACCTGGATCTGATCTTTCACGTCAGTCTGAAAAACAAAGACCCGATTTTTTCCATTGCCACCCAGGCCGCTTGGCTATGTGGTCCTGAATCCGATACATATCTGATCTTTTCAAATGCGACCTGTGTCTGAACGGCCACATCGCATTCATCTACCCTGAACGCCATTAAGACTCGACCAAGTTCACTATTCTGAACCTTGCTACACAGAAGCGACGAGAAAAACAACTTTACTCTATTTACTTCTACTCTATATATTTATGGTTCTACTCTATATATTTATGGTTGTACTTTTTCCATTTCTTTATGCATTTCTGGCTCATCATACCAATAAGATTGAATTAGAAATGTTCACAATCATTACAAAACTTTTGCATCAATAAATGTAGAAATTAAAAATATATTATATATAAGTTGCTTTAGTTTACTTAAATAACATCACTTACCCAGCAAAAGGACTAGAGTAACTAAACTAAAAGAAAATTCAAACAAACTCTTATAATAACCACCTGTAACCTATAAGAGCTAATGATAAGGACCACAGTATGAATATAACTGAATATCTGGTAATTAAAGGGCAAACACTGTAACTGCTTCAGGTCTGATTGTTGTAGTAAATTTTTTGAGATGTCTAACCTTGTACTCCTTGAAGCAGCAGATCAACCCCACTACGGTAGTATGAAAAAGCTGCTTCGTAGTCCTGCTCGCTTTCCTTTTTTACAGCAAAACCGATCAGTTCACTGGCTTTGTCGAGGTAGTCTGACTTTTCTTCCTTAGTGTTGATGCCGCTGGTTCTCCTTAGACTGCGGGAGAAGAGCTGCGTTCGACTTGGCGTGCTGACCTCGGGGTTAGGGGCTGAACTAATGGGGATAGAGGCAGGAGACGGGGTGCTGCGTTCACGCAGAGAGGGCAAACGAGGGCTGTAGCTACTGCTGGTGGCTCCCCCCTGTGGTTGGTTAGGGGAGGTGCTACCTGAGGCCATGCCATCATCCAACCCAACCAGAGAGTCTGTATCCACTGCCAGGGAGGTCAGGTCGCTGTCACTGGAAGGGCCTTGGGAGACCAGACATACAACAGATTACTAAAACTGCCCAAGTCAAAACATTCAACAACATTTCACACAAATATAACAAAATCTATTTAATCACCTCCATATTCAGATGTTCTAGTCAAATCCTCAGCACCACTGATGTCTCTTTGCACTGAGAAAAACAACAACTCATGAATTATAATACATTAGAAAGTGAAATGTTTCAGGAGGAGTTTTCTATGTACGCCTACCATCAGAACTACAGTCTGATAAACTGTCAGCAAGGAAGTCTGAAAAAGGCTCAGCTGGTCCAATGAGCTCTGAGCCGTTGTGGATCTCACCTCCCTGGCGGAAGATAAATAAATATATCAAAAAATAACTCAATCATCTGGTTTATAACTCATTTTTTGGACAAAATATTGAATACCTTGAAGAAATCTTGGATGTGTTGACTATTATATAGAGCAGGAATATTTGCAGAGAACTGCAGGATATCCTCTGAGCACTGTCTTCTCTCCTCAATCACGGACTCATCGAATCGACCTTTATATGGACACAAACACTTTTTAAACACTGGGTAGTTATAGTGCAAACCGGTTCACAAGTATTTATACAATTAGATCTTTTCACATGATGCCACATTAAAACCATTAACACACACCGTTCACCATGCTGAAGTGAAAGGAAAGGGATATCTGGTTTTTCAAAATATTTGAAAAATAGTAATAATAAAAAAAAAAAAACTGAGGAGTACGATTTAGTCCCATCAGATGTAGTCTAGTAAACTCGCCCCACCCGCCTGCGGCCAAAATCATTTTTGCCTGCGAGTTTGGTCTAGCCTCGATGAATGCCCCAGGCCCTAGAACTGTTGGGCCAATCACAACGCAGAGATGTGTTCCGAATTTCTGGATGCAAAGTGAGTGGGGTTTTCAGTATGGAGCGATATTTGTGCCTTCGGTTTGAGCGCGCAGGAACCAATCCAAGCGAATCCAGAGACAGAGTCGAGCGCACAGCTGGTGTTTAGCGCGGAGAGAGCAGGTGGAGCGCGAGCAGAGACGGATCCGAGAACCCGCAGGGATGGAACGGAGTGTGATGATAGTGTGTTGAAAAGAGTTTTTCAAAGTTGAGCGTGCGCAAGACCGGTTTTGAGCATGCACATGTTGTCTCACTGCGTGCTCAGATTGGTTCCAGCGCGCTCAAAACCGAAGACACAAATATCGCTCCATATTTCAGGGCGGGACGACAAAGCTGCGCGACGCTGAAGAAAGCACTACAAAGAAGATGGCAAAAACTATTGAACAGCTCTCGTTTGACTCAGCTTTGGAATCAGTTTTGGAAGGATTAGACTTGAGGTTTTCGTTGAAACGTCACAGTCTGTTGTGCTCATTGGTCAGAGCGTTGGTCAATAGGCACAGACGGTGGTTTGAAAGACAACGGGTTGTTCTCATCAACAATCTTCCGATGGCTCATTCAACGGGGCCAGACTAAATTACACATTTAATCTCACATTTAGTCTGATTTATCGGGCTAATCAGATGACCACAAATGTCATGAGTGGCAGAAAAACCAGCACCGCACCTCAGCCAAAACAGGGCTGGGAAATAAATTGCATTTGCAATGTAATCACAAATTTTAAAAATAAGATGCAATTTTCAAATCGCAGAGGCAATCAGTTTTGGTTACCCTTGGTTACCCTACATTTAACTTAAGTAAGACACTGACTTTCTCACTCCAGTCCTATAGGGGACATTAATATCCTTAAATCGACCTTAATTCCACAGAGGACGGAGAAGAGTTGAAGCTAAAAAACAGATACTTGAATGCAAGCAGAGGAAATGATTTTTTCGCACATTAACAGAGAACTCCTTCCACAATTTAATCTTGGACAAGCAAGCTTTCAAAGTTATTTAATAAAGGAATCCATGGAGTGAAACATCTACCTACCAACATTATATTGTGGTGGTGCTTTTCTGCTGCTAGACAGAATTAACGGAAAAAGAAAAGTAGAGCTTAGTATAGAATAATCCTGGAAGAATAACTGTAGTGGGTCATGAACACTTGGAGAATGCAGCAGAGTTAACTTTTTGATGGGATGGTCCTACAAAACAGAGTTCCAGTTGAAAATCTTTGGTAATTGGGAAATCTTTATAAAGACACGTAGGATTTTCCTTCCGACTCACGATAATGCTGTTGTTATTTTGCCTAAAATCCCATTTAACTGATAAAAGTTGATTCAGTGACTAATTGTGACCAAGTGGTAAACACACTTTTTTGAAAAAAAAGAGAGACTTTTATCAACTATACTAGAATATATATATATTACAAGGATAAACATAAATGACAGAGCATTAAAGTATTAATGGAATTATTGTAAATATTTTATATAAATGAGTAGGGCTGGGTAAAATAATCGATTTGGATCGATTCCTTAACATTTTTGCAAAATAGATGTGTAGGGAATGAGATCGATTAGTTTTATAGTGACGCGCATAACGTTCACATTCAAATGAGCAGGCGTGTGCAAATGCCGACCCAAGTAACACACCGCTCAGCAAGCTGTACCAACTGAAGTCTGATGTCTAGAACCATTTTGGATTTAATACAGCTAATAATGTGCTGGATATGTGACATTAAGGTGACTTCCCACTACATTGATAATGAGTGGCGCCTTGCATCTCGTGCTACAGACCACCAAGATTACTTCAAGCCAGCCAGCTGCAAATATATCCAATAGTTTGACTGAAGACATTAACAAATGGGGGCTGACCAGAAAACACCCTGTATTCGTTACAGACAACGCTGCAAATATGGTTTGTGCAGTGAAGATAATGCAGCTCATGCATGTCTGCTGTGTCACGTCTGCTTGCTCGTGAGACTTCTCTTTTTTTCTTTGCACAAACAAGTTTGCACTTTTGAGACAATTTTGTTTGCATCTTAAGTTCAAGCTGTCTGATTTATAAGTTTGCACTTGGTGTTTAACATGACAGGAAAAAAATAAAATATATGAGTATTTTGAAACACAGCTGAACCACTTTCATTGTAAAAACAGATCGAATCGAAATGAATCGATTTAGAACTGAATGAATCAAAATCGAATCGATTCAGGACTTTGGCCAAAATATCCAGCCCTATAAAGAAGTAGATAAGAAAAAACTTACCGAATACTTTGGCTTTGGCAAAGGGAGGAAATAGCTCAGACTGGCTACATGCATTTTTGTACAGCTGCCAGAGGTTCTGATGAAGCTTCCGGAAATCACTGTATCTCTTCCATACTATTATCTGTAGAGACAGGAACAGAGAGCATGGCTGGTTGCAGACAGGAGACCAACAATAGTCCTAACCTTAAAAATATTTAAAGCTATACTGAGAATAGGGCTAAAACAATTAATCGGATTAATCGTAATTAATTGATTATTGAAATAATCGTTAACTAACTTAGTAATCGATTAATCATTAACTGGAGTATAAAGACTCCAAAAAATGCCTTTAGCTGACAGAGCGACCCACTTGGAGCAGTAATTATACCAAGATTGTAGAAAAATAAATCAACATTTTGCATTAAAGATAAAAAAAAAAATACTTTTTCATTTATCAGAATGCTCAATCCTGAGCTCCTCAAATGAAAAAGTTTAGTTTCACCTGGTTTAATTTCGTAAAAAGTATTTTTTAAGGAACCTTTCTCTATCCAATTATTAAACAATGAATTGAAAAAATAATCAACAGATTAATCGATTTGCAGAATAATCATTAGTTGGAGCCCTGAGAAGTAAAGGAGGTTTTGAGATGAACATTTATCGTGATACCTGTATCATCTGAAATATAAATGATAGTTTCCTAACAAATCAAATTTATACAGAATCTTGTGATTTCTTTCGAGTAAACGATTCAAGTAGATTAACAAATCTAACTGGAAACATAATTTTTGATAGCTCTTTTACATTTTACAATAAATCCTCAAACTGAAGCTATATCCATGTTAACACAGATGAACAAGTTACTTGCAATGAAACATAATAACCTTATGTTCAGATCAACTTCTGGCTAAAATCAAACATTTCCTATTGATTGATGAGAAACCAGGCAGACTACCACGGCCGGCCTAAAGGACTACTCAGTAATGTAGGAATGTGGTGCTTCGAAGAAAAACAACAAACAAATGTAATTGACATCATGCTTGCTGCATTAGCTCTGGTTCCAGACAAAGGTAAATCCCTCTCTCTGTAAATTCAAGCATTATTCTAATGCATATTGGTGGACATTGCATAAAATGGGGGATGAAGTTTTATTTGCAAGACATAAAAAGTTAAGTCATGAGTTAATAACAATAAAAACTTGGAACTATCAATAAGAAGCACAAGAAAAAAATATGCTCTATTTTGTCATGAATCAGAGCTTTATGATAATGCAATTGAAGCCCAATTAGGCAGTTTTAAAACATGAGATGCAAAGTGAAAAATAAGAAATAAAAGACCAACAGAAATCTCATCTGTAACTAGTCCTGTTTCAAATAGAAGCTACCAATAGCTACTGTTAGAAAAAATTGAACTGCAACCTTTACAGACAAAACAAATACATATAAATACAAAAAAATACAGCTTAAAGCTTTACCTCTTGGACGTCTTCTGGGTTTTTGCGGGAGATTAGCTGTAAAGAAGAGAGGAAGAGCGGACTTTAGGGACCTTTTTTCACTCAAGCAGGGCAGTCGTGAACGTGAGCAGTGTGGGCAGCCCCAGAGTGTCACAAGGACTTCATTATGAAGCAAATGACGAAAGTCTTTAGTGGTGAAACGGGACATCTCTAAAATCATGATAAGTAGCACAGCAGCTAGTGGGAGAAAAGAAACACAGCTCTACCTTGGATCCTCGCTGAGTTTTTATACTTCAAATAATAGTGAAATAATTTCCATAATCACAGGATAATCTTCAATATTTCAAAGATACATTTTGCTAATAAAGAAAAAAGAGAAATAAAAATTAAAGCACTCTTAAGAACAAAAATCTTCCATATTTCAAAGATAAATTTTGCTAATAAAGAAAAAATAGAAATAAAAATTAAAGCACTCTTAAGAACAAAAAGAGTCACAACTGTTTTTAGAATCAGGAAATACTTGAAATCAATAAAAAAATAAATCTACTTGAAATTTGAAATGGAGAAGAAAAAACCTTCAACACAACTGTGGTTCTTCATGAGCTACCTCCACCTTCAGGCCCTAAAGCAGGATTCAGCAGCTTAGTGAGTTAACTTCAGTTTTGACATTAGGCTCTAGTTTCATAATTGAAATATGGATAGAACATGTTCAGATGTGCCCATTTTAATATTAACTCATCAGAGTCTTTTACTACAATTATCATTCATCCTCAACAGATGAAGTAGCTTTTAAGAAAATACAAACGGTTGCTGTTGGCATTTAATTGATCGCCAATAATAACTTTAAATAAACGTATATGTTATTTTTAATTGTCTGTGTCTAGGCTTAAAGGTTTCCCTTTTTAAAAAGCTTATAGGTAAAGTGACTCGGTTTATCCTGAGCTATCTCTGTTGTGATGCTGCTATAGGCTTAAGTTTCTGGAGGACGTAAAGTCCACTTTTCCTCACTCTGCTTCATTCTACTCGTAGTCTCCATTTTTTCCAATTGAAGGTTAAACATTATGACGATTTTTTGCAAACACATTTCACCATTATGCTCTGCAAAGCTGTCAATTGTCAAAATTACACTGTTGCTGGGCCATTATGTCAGCTTTTTTTAGCCTAACGGCTAACGGAATCAGTTTGAGGTGAGTGTCTGGCCACAGGGGGATTCAAGAGGCTTGGCTGGAATCTGTCTATGGTCAAAGTGTTCTTTTCTACCCTATAAAACGCAGAATTGTTGCTGCACCAGTGTGTAAGCCCACCAGCTGCAGTTGGCTCGGCACAATGTCCCACTGGGTCAATCTGAAATGTTGCATATTAAACTATGATAGGTATTCCAAATACTATGCATTGTTATTTCGAGGGGACTGCAAATTTACACTGTAGTGTAAGCTGTACACTGACTACTTTATAATGTATTAAAAGTGTAATTTCTTCAATGTTGCCAAATGAAATAAAAAAAATAATAAAACATACCAGCAGCCTTGAATATTTTCTTTATTTTTGTGAATGAATAGCATCAGAATACGTTTAATATATTGGTTGCTAAGATGATGTTGACTGTGGCATAGAAACATGGGGCTAAATTTGGGCAATAAAGTTTATTTAAGAAAAAAAAATCAACCAGAAAAAAGTTTGAAAAAGACTATACCTAAAGAAAAGTAAGTTTGTTCAAAAGAAAAGCTACTGTTCAGATTCAAGATTTTGTTTTTTTGTTTTTTTACATGAGTTTTTTTTTTTCTTATTTATTCATTACTTTATTTTATTTATGTGGACTAGAGACTGACACGGGAGTGGATTTTCACTCCTGTCCCGTCCCACTCCCACAGAAAAAAATGGTGTCCCGTCCCGATCCCGGGCCAGAGTAGAAACCTAAATCCTGTCCCGTCCCACTCCTGGTGAAATTACTCCCACTCCCATCCCGCTCCCATTCAGAATGACTCCCGCTCCCGCACCACTCCCATTCTTGTTGTTTTTGAGCGCGGGTGAAAAACTCAGAGCGGAAGTTACTATTGGTTTGCTCCCGCTCCCGTCTGCTCCCGTTAATGTTTAATCCTGTACCGTCCCAATCCCGTGATCGTTACTAATACTGACTCCCATCCCACGGGAATCCCACGGGAATCCCGTGACCCATGGGATTCCCGAAAAAATGTCAGTCTCTAATGTGGACCTGTTACAAAAAATATACAAAATGTGAAACATCACGGATAAGTTTATATTTATTATTGTGTTTTAAAAACATTGACCAATGACCAGTGAATCTGCTATGTTCCATGTGTGAAGCATATTTTCCAAAACCAATAACATACACATACAGTATTGATCACAGATCACACTTTAGACACAAGCTGTCAAATAATGAGTACAACCTAATATAGGTTCTGCAATACTCTATACACTACCATATTTTCAGCAGTGCTAAATGTAAACCCTGTTTCTGAAACGGTTTCAGTGGCTGGAAGCACATGAAAGAGCATGTGAGAGAGCATGAAAACAGCAAAAATCATAGAAAAGCAGTGCTTACATACAACACAACAGTGGTGTCAAAAGTACACACATTTGTTACTGAAGTAGAAGTATAGATACTGCAGTTTAAAAACACTCTAGCAAAAGTTTAAGTATCAACTTGACCTCTTTACTCAAGTAAAAGTGAAAAAGTATGTGCTCCAAAAACGACTTAAAGTATAAAAGTATAAAGTAACCTTTAAAAAAAAACAGCCAGATGCAACTATATGAATTGAAAGCTCAATTTTTCAATTATTTCAAAAGATTCTTTGAGATAGGGCCAAGGATGAGGGAGGTCTTGTTGGTCTCCCTCTCCCGATACGCTCTCGCCTGTGTCCGACCTTTCAGACATTTCTACATCTTTTTCTGAATCCTACATTGTAGCATGGCATAGACAATTCACGTTTGCAGTTTGAAGAACACCTGCTTGCTTCTGATGATTTCCTTTAGCTAACCAGTGAGTGTTTGCGTTTTATGACTCATCCAATTACACTAGTTTTAACTAGATGTGGATGGAGCCAATGATCTGCATTGATTGGCCCACATGATGTGACAAATATTTATAAAAATTAAAGTTACACTATGCAACCGGTGTTGATTTTCCAGTGAGGCTCCCTCCAGAGGGCGAAAGTAAAAGTGCACTGTCGTAAATATGCACAGCTGTTCTCCTGGTTTCTCCGTCAAGCCAGGCGCGGTTGTTTTGAGCTTAGCAGCGAATGACTAATGCTGCGTTCACACTGGACGTAGCTGGCGCGACAGAAGCAGCGAGTTTACATGCAAAGTCAATGGTTGACGCGCGTCAAAGCGCAGCAAAATATGGCAAAAGGTCCCGCGGCGCGTTTTGAGCACCAGGCGCAGCACGTCTGAGCAGCTGAAGCAGCGGGTCTTGACGCCTAAATTAACTTAAAATGCAGAAATCTGCCGGCAGAATATGCAGTTTGGATTATTTAGATGAAAAACACCTACCAGCTGCCGCGGTGAACCGCTGCTGATGAAGGGATCCATACTGTCGGCGCCCCGCTGGTATGTGGGGGTCTAAGCGGCTCCGACAGAAAAAATATTGAAGGCAGGATAATAATCTGAATGAACTGACTGCACTGATTACGTTTTCAGGTGTATTTCCTCACTTAAACACATATTAAAACTACTTTATTCCCACTGATCACAGCAAATATAGCTGCAAGGCAGAGAAAGGATAGTGAAGCTCCGCCCAACGCGCCTCAGACACACTTTTGCACCGCGCAGCCAGAGCAGCAAAGCTGCTTCAGCCACGCGTCAGAACTAACTGGTACAAGCAGCAAAAAGGAAGCAGCAGACGCGATTTTGCTGCTTTTGCTGCGTGAACGTAGCATAACTGCACAAAGATTGCCACTGTGCTAGCAACGAGAATGCTTTTAACTGGGGGCGTGTAGCAGTTCTCGCCGTAAAGCAAGACTGACTCTCACGAGACTTCTGAGCCTGTGGGTGCGGGTCGGTGCTCCTGCAGTTGCAAGTGCAGTATTTCCCCCACAGACCACCAGGGCGGCCGAGAATACCTTTGTTCAACCTGAAATGACTCATTTAGTCATCCATAACGTTATGGAAGACATTAATTAACTGAAAAATGTTGCATAGTGTCCCTTTAAATCGAAAGCCAAGAGTAACAATTACATTTTTTTTTTAATTAAAAGTAGAATTAAAAAGTAGAAGTCAGAAGTAGGAAGAAAAATAAGTAATGGAGTAAAGTATAGATACCTAAAAAGTGTACTTAAGTACAGTAACAAAGTATTTGTACTTCATTACTTGAGACCTCATCAATAGAGGTGGGCAAATCGATCCTAAGATCGATACTATCGATACCAACGCTGGTCTTGATATTGAACAATAATCGTTTAACAAGATCGATACTTTATTTTCTCTTGCATGCACTAACTGCTGCAGATTCACCATTCTCCACATCTGTATAATTACAGCGCATCGCTGCTCCCCCCCTCCACTCTCGTCACCGGCCCAGCACATAGGCTCAGCCTGGCCCCGCCCCTCTCAGCTCTCTCTGCCCTCCATACAAAAACTGCTCAAACGCCGGAGAGAGAGAGACCATCACAACCGAAAATAACATAAATGAAAACAACGGAAAGCTGTATGGTTTGTAAGAAGCCATGAAAAACCATGAGCAAGAAAACGCCGAGCTACGGAAACGGAGAGAAGAGACGAAACTTCACTCATTGGCCTGAGAGACCCTTGACCCTCAGACAGAGATGATTGACAGAGGTGTTTCAGACCCTGAGAGAATACCCAGGTAGATAAGAGTGATCACCTTCAGAAGCACTTCATATTAGTGACCAGCTCTCTCCACTTAAAAAAAAATACACAGGCATAACCCTGTACCTGCTTGCAAGAGGGAACTCCTACTAAACGCGTGCAAGAGCCCGTTTCTCCTCGTGCACGCCCTGTTTAAAAGTTGCTGTATGCATCACTCATACAAGCTTACTTTCCAAAAGAAGATTTGCAATTTTTCCAATATGTCAGACTCATCACCGGTATTATTGCTGTTTATTTTGATGATCCACCCGGAAAAAGACTCTATACTCCACTATACCTTCAACTTTAACAGTAGATATTATATGTCATATGATACTTGAAAGAATCCAGTAAATTTACTCCATTAAAACATGTTGTCTAAGTGTGCTAACATTAGCTATCCTTTATTTATCCCACGATGTGAAACTTTATAGATTTAAAGCTACAGGCAAGTGCATGCAATACAAACAAAATCACGTAAGGACTGAACGATAAAATAAAAGAGGCGGATTATTAACAATATTAGCATTACATTATTAATACTATTATTATTTATTGTAATAATAAATAAAAATCACTGAAACACTGAAAGATCGACAGTTCCATGACACATCAAGCTTAAATGTAGTGATGGTAGTGATGTTAGGAGATGAGATGATCCGAGGCTTCAAGGCGTGTGTCGAGTACTAGAGGGGGAGATTCCGTGAGGCGTGTATCGAGGCTTGCTTCATTTGGGGGAGGAGCCAAAATAGATGATGTCCGAAACCTCGCAACCCGCCATACCACATGACCGCTTCGGGAAGTGGTTCAGCCCGCCCTGAGCTTCAGCAGGCATTTAAACAGCCTCAGTATTCAGTCAAGATGTGGCAGTTTGTAGGAGAGAATAGATTGGTGTTTTTTCCAACCAATCTAGTTGGTTAAAACTAGTTTGGTTGGATTAAACAACGTAATTATCAAAATCTGAGCAAGCCACTGATGAATATATAAATTTATAGTATAAATATGTAAATGTCTTAATAAGATAAGAAGTAAGAGATGGACTTCCAATCCGTGGGTTGGTTCAAGACCCACCTCAGACTTTTAAAAGTTTTGATAAAACACATCTAGTATTTTGACTAATGTGACTAATTTGCATTTGTTGCCCTAGTATACATATAGATTTGTAAAAACACAAAGAAATAGATTGGTGTGTTTACCAAAAGATTGGTTGAACACAGAACTTCCAACCCAATTAAAACCACAAACTGTGGAAAAAACTATTATGTTTAAATAAAAATGACCAACACCTTTCATTTTCTCATCATTGCCCTACTTGTACAAACATTTTCTCACTGTTATTTCACTAAAATGGCAGTAGGTGGTGACATGTTCACATGGGGCTTCATGAAATGTGGGGATCGTTGAAGCAATTTGGCCAAACGGTTCAATGCCTGGTATTTACTTGGTATGGCATTGATTGAACATTTCCAGTATCGCCCTCCTCTACTCTACAACACACACATCATCTAGCTTAAAGAGACACAGAACTGGCTGTCAGAGGCTCCAGTTACGCTTTTTGGTGGGACAGATAATGGGACTTACTTGGGTATTCTGAGGTTTGAGTGCTAATATTAATATATGTAAAGGTCTGTGTTAACATGGATCAGAGGCCTCGCTTATATTCCTACTCTACTCATCCTTACATGAAAACCAACAAAGCAAAGCGTACTGCTACTTATATATAAACCAAACAAGGAAGTATGACACATAAAGGATGGTCCGATTCTTATGCTTATTTGAGGTACGTTGATTCTTAATGGTATGAGTCGATCACCTATTAAATATATTGAAATATATTAAATATATAAGAGCATCTGTTGTTGCATTGTCCCTATACGTTAAAAGCGAAAGTTGTTCTCCCTTTGGGTCAACGATACATTTTGAATATTCTATTAACCCAATGATTGTCTATAAAACATTTATTAAACATTATTGTGACAGCTTAAAACGCTGCCGTGATTTAAAGCTTTCGTTGTGAATCCAGTCATCCTACTATAGGCTTTTATTTGATCAATATCTGTCTGAAATGTAACATTTTAATCGACAACCCTACAGCAATTTAATGCTAATCGTTACTTAAAATATGTAAAATGGAAAGGTAATAAAATTACCAATAATAGGAAGTTGTCCTCGATGGGTTAAATCACTGTTATCATTGCCTAATATCTCCATCTCATTGGCTTGGCTAGCTCTGCCTATGCTAACCGGCTAGCTGATAACAATTAGCGTTAGCCAAGCTGCCACAAAGCCCTGCCTCGGTTTACTCACCGTGGCGGTGACTTTATACACAGTGTAGCCTTTCTGGTGCCTCGTGGGATCTGTTACTGTATAAAACCGAGCGAGTTCTCCTCTGTCCCGCTGGGATATCATTCTGATAGTGACAACATTGCCAAATCTATCAGCCGGCTAGCTGAACACTACACATTCATTGGGGGAGAAGTCCAGGTTATAGCGCCTCCCCGAGGAGAGGCTGTGGTACTACGTGTACGGAGAGAATCTGAGGGGGGCACACGGGGCCACAAGCAAAGTCGTTCATTCTTCATCAACAGAGGATTGATGCGCATAACACATCTATGCTATCTCCCATAGATATCCATAATAAAGGCTAGATGTCTCGTCCGCGCTGCTGGCCAATGGGGGTCGACGTCCGCACGTGGCGGCCATCTTGCCACAGGCAGCTCGCTCATTCGTAACATTGTGTTTTAAAGGCGCATGTACTGAAATAACCATAACTTCCTCAATTGTCTAACGATTCTCAAACTGTTTGGTTTGTTAAACAAACGTCAGACATGTAGTTATGATACTGCACACCTATGAATAATTATAACCATGGAATTTCATATGAAAAGAACATTGAATAGAACATACAGGTGCAATAAATATACACATGCACAAGGTATTTATGTTAAATCAATATATGCTATTAAAACTCAGTGTACTGAATGGCAACATGATATATAGATATATCTATAGATATCTATATATATATATATAAATATGAGTATATATATATATGTAAATATGTGTATATATTTATATATATATATATATATATATATATATATATATATATATATATATATATATATATATATATATATATATATATATATAAATATGTATATATATATATAAATATGTATATATACATATTTATATATATATATATATATATATATATATATATATATATATATATATATATATATATATATATATATATATATATATATATATATATATATATATATATATATATACATGTATATATATATATATTAATATGTATATACATATATATATATATATATTAATATGTATATATATATATATATATATATATATATATATATATATATATTTATATATATATATATATATATATATATATATATATATGTATATGTATATATATATATATATATACACACATATATACATATAGATATAAATAAACACTTTTATTTGGGTGTGATTAATTATTTCACAGTCCCAATTTATTTATATTTACATACATACTTTTATAATATGAATATTATTGTTATAATAAAATATGAAATACTAACAAAAAAGGCTTATTGTGTGGCAACCTCTTGGTGTAGAAGCATAATCCAGGTTTCAAATTAAAGGTAACACTTTGAAGTTTCATGTAGACTATTCGGATTATATATTAGGGGTAATTACACAAAAGTTCCTATTTTTAAACCATTATAAAAGTGACATTTATTTGCTATTAAAATTGGTACAATAGTCCCCTTCACAAGTATATATAGATGTAGCATGTTGAAATCCCCACCTACACTACTGTGATGGTATACACATGGAAGACAGAGATTTAAAAAATCACCCAAAAAACATAGCTTGGCTAATGCCCTTTGAAAAGGAAGGTTTTATTGAGCTTCTGTGTAATGTACAAAAGAGCGTTGTCCACAAGGCCATCAAAGCGGACAGGAAGGTAGCTGTGGTCATGTACTAGCGCAGGAATGTCAGCAAACGGGGATGGAAGATCTTCTGCTCCTGCTTACACATTATATAACCTGCAGAAACAAAAACAAAAGTGACCAACAACAATTCACGGTGTATAAGATTGGTATATCAATATGTGATTAAATTTCAATGATACACATGCCCTTTGAAGATGAGCTGGAAAGTTGAAAATGTTTGGCACAACACCATCTTTAAGTTGTCCAAATGAAACTAATAAAAACTTATAAAAGCTTTGAGTCAACAACAGTCTTGTAATACTATTATGTCTTGTAATACTATTATGTAATACTATTATACTATTATAGCAAAAGTCTGGCATCTTCCTTTTAATAAACCCAGCAAATTCCTGTAACATAATGTAAGATGTGTTGACAGACCAAATCGATTGGAAATCATGTGCAATTCTGCCTCTTCCACTGATGTAAAGTTGCTGGTTAACGTTAGCAGCTAGCTAAACTGTAACGTTAGCTGCTAACTTACTAACGTTAGGTCTCACTTCGTAGCTTCTTGTTATTAGCCAGCTAACGTTAGGCTAATAATGAAAATACAACAACACTCAGATTATTGTTATTAGCCAACTAATAACTACAACCACATCCACAAAGATTGTAATTTACACCAAAGATTAATTGTCATACAATCGTTATTGGTGTCAGTAAAACCTATATAATTGACTAATAATCTCAGCCTTGATAACTTGCGCAAGTAGCCGTGATGCACAACTATGCTGCGTGATTAAGTCATTTTTCGACAAGAAAATCTGCAATTTCGACATGTTCAAGCATCTAGAATTATAGCCACGCTCATAATGTTTGTTAGAAACCAAACTGTTTGTAAATCCGTCAAGAATTCAGTGAGGTAAGAGTATTTGTGTTCGTGCTGATCACTCACCTTACATTAGGTACCACAGAGCACAACAGAAAGCCTGCCTGAGGTAAGATGGCCGCCGGTGATGACGTTTGAGACTCCGCCGTAAGACATCTAGCCTTTATTATGGATATCTATGCTATCTCCTATTAATACGACTGTAGGAAAAAAATCTGTTTATTTAGTTATTCCAGAAATAATAAGTCAGTAAGAACTTTATTTCAAATGAATACAATGTCTTTGCCTCCTGCTGTTTCAAATTGGAACTCATTTGTTGATGATGTGCAATGGAAAAAGGTTTGGCTGATTCCTAATAGATTTCTGATAAAGAATAAGGTTAAAGAAATCTCCTTTAAACTTATCCATAGAATTTACCCAGCTAAAGTCTATATACAAAATATATTCAAACTGAACATTGATATACTATGCAGCTTCTGTAAGAACTCCCCTGAAACAGTGCTCCATTTTGGAGCAGCCAATTTGTTCATGTGTTCTGGCAAAAAAATATACAGTCTGATCCAGGATAAAATTGATAATAGTTGTCTTCTGTTCTGGAGAGATGTGTTGTTTGGAATTGTAGCAAAGGATCCCCATAGTAATTCTACTGTGTACCTAATAAATCTGCTTCTTATTATGGACAAATTTTATATCCATAAATGCCGATTTAGAGGTAAAACGCCATGCTTTATTGCATTCTTTTGCGAAAACATCCACCCCACCCAACATTCTTCAAAGCAAAAAGCGTTTTAAACATTGTCTGTATGTGATATGTTCAACTTACTGTCTTAGATTGCAACCCCGTAGTTCATTATTTCTTTTATCTGTCTTTTCGTTCCTAATTGTTGCTTGTCTTGTATTGCACTGTTACTCAGATCAATCCAAGTGTACTTCTCTACATATTTTAGCTCGTTGATCCCATATATTAAAGACAATGTGTAATTGTATGTATATTCACTAGTGCAACTAGTGCAAGTGCAATAAACATTTCTTTAAAAAAAAAAGTTGTTCATTCTTCTTCTTCTTGTTGGATATACTGGCGGTTGGCAAAAAACATTTAGTAGCATTACCGCCACTTACTGGTATGGAGTGTGGTTCGTGATGGACTATCTACTAATAAACATATACGGTATATAAATTCTAAGGAAAAAAAATAATATATATATATATATATATATATATATATATATATATATATATATATATATATATATATATATATATATAAGAGTGTATATACACACACACACACGCAAACACACAAATATACATACTTATACATAACTTTGTATTCTATCCATCTATATCATACACACATTTATCCTCTCTATAATCAAATTCTATGAAATAATTTAGTTTTCTTTTAAAAAACGAATAACTATTTATATATGTTTACTCCCCAAATTCTTCCTCAAAATATCTGATCAATTAATCTTTTTCTTTAATACATTTAAACTCTCTCCTCATATATATACTCGAGCTTTAATATTTATGACATTCAAGTCTTCCATTTGTTCATTTTCCTACTATCTTCTTAATTTTATAAAACTGTCTTCCTTTTTTTTCATCCCACCTTTTTTGCCATTTTCCATCAGTTTTTCTTTAATAATACTCTTTCCCTCTGATTTACTTGTTTTGAATACATTCATTGAATGTAATGTTTTATTTTTATTCGTATTAAGTGTTACAAAAACATGACCATACAACAAAAAAAAAAGTTAACTCACTAACTAAATGTGTTGCATACCGTTTAATTCTACACCTATTCATGTACAGGGTTTTACCATTTAAATTCCATAATTTAGTCCAGAAAAAAAATTTTCTTGGATACTTAAAGACTATCTTTATCTTGATTATGGATTTATGGATCTGTCTACAAACACCCAAACTACATCAGAGCAACCAATAGGAGTGAGAGGATTATCCCTCCAGCCTTCAGCATCCAAGAAGAGCAGGGTCTGCTTGCAGTATTTGTACTTTTGCAAACAGCAGCAGGCGTCTCCATTACCTCCCTGACCATGCCATCTCTGTAGACTGAGTAATTGCTCTGTAAACAAAAGAAGTGTTTTAATGTAAGTAATACCTTAGTTAGTAACTGTGCAAGAGGTAATTACAAATATTTTTTTTCATGAGTGTGAGTTTTTGACATAATTAGGGAAACTAATAAATACAATATAACATAAAAATGTGGATTTAACAATAAGAGAGCCAGTAAAAAACAATGAATAAAGCTGAATCTGCAAAGATCACTACTATTACACACAGACTGAGCCTATTAATTTTGACTTATTATGACTAAACCTAACAAGAGAAATAAATTATCATGTTCAAACACTGTTGACTTACTCTGGCATCAGAAATGTACTGAATTTGTGGCAGGTTATTCATCAAGCTCTGATACTCATCTGGTCTGTAAGAAGTAATTGAAGATGATTAAAAAAAGACACCAGCTTTGCAGAAAAGGTTTACATTGTTGCGAGACAAACTCAGCAAAGATGCCAAGTATTTGAATGATCTTACTGAGCCGTTGTGGTGGATAGCAGTAGTGTGTTCGGGCGGCTGGTGCATGAGGTAATATCTACTGCAGGGTAGTAGAAGAGGAAAGCCAGACACA